ACACTGCACTGTTTTCCTCACTAGGCTCTGTCTCCTTTTCTACCTTGTACAGACTTAATTTTTAAGACAGTATCTCACTACCTACACAAACCTTAATTTTTAAAATCATTCCTCATTAACAAACAGCTCATCTTTCAACTTTCAGTCCTGACAAGTTCCGTTTCTCTGCAGTACTGCTGGGGTGGCCTCACTGTCCTCTAGGGCTGGTGGGTGAGAAAGCTAAGGAGCCTGCTGGAGGAACAGGAAGCCTTGCCTCCTGCAATCGCTCCTGTGTCAGACAGTTGAGAACAGCGGGGCAGAAGTTACTCTAAGTCAGAATGGGGGCCGACTGCATTTTTAGGATTCTATTTCAAGTGACTGAATGAGTGACTATTTTGAGAAATTCACATTTTTTGTAACTGTTTTAAATAATACTCTTTTTAAACCATTTTGGTTCTCCCCCTCATTTTCATCACCAAATCATCTAGAAAACAGAATAAAAAATACTTATATCAAACAAATGACAATATACTGCAAAATCATAAAAAAAAATAACCTACAAGCATTTACAGTTGAGTGAAAAAAAATATACTTTTGCTGGTGAGAGTACTCTACCAATAACCTATGCCTCCAGGCAGGCCTCTAACTTAAAAAAGCAAATATATATATTTGCTTTTGAAACAACATTTTACAGCAATTTCCAGGCTTCAAAAAGAATATTTAATATGGTAACAGTTTTCTCTAAGGCTTTTCTCTACTGTCACACCACAGCTAAGCAGCCTAGCACCAGGCTTTGTCAGCCAAGGCCTCAAGGCTTGCTTAGTTCAAGTTCACTGATATCAAGGTCACTGGCTCCAAGGACAGCACAGACAAAACCAGATCCATGCGTTCTAGCTCCGTCTGCCAGGGAACCTAACTAAGGCCTGCCAACTCATTCTATTTCTACCACCAAATTATCATAATTACATGTTTACCGATAAGAACTCTTCAATGACCCACGGCTGTGCTGGGAACTACACTAGCTCATCACAGACAACTCTGCTATTCTAGGCACGCTACGCTTCAAGGAGAAATTTTAATTAAAGGAGCAGGGAGCACGCTTACGCTGACTTCTTTTTTATAGCATTTCAAGTAACATGACTGTTTCATGGAAAATAGCATACTGCCCAATGCTGGGCTGCAGGCATCCCAAGTCTTTAGCATGCCCTGCTAGTTCCCCAGGGTCTCAGTCTCCTCCCACCCTCACCTCCAGTCTGCATCACCTGAGCACTGTAAAGACTGGACACGTTATTACTTGCTCGCCAGGGGTAAGTAACTGGACTAGTGACCTCAGAGCAATTCATCAGCTATTAAATTCTCTTACTGAAGTGTATAAATCCTATGTTTTTAGCACATTTTATTCACAAGCTATACAAATATTATTATTACTAGTTCCAGAAAATGTTTATCCTTTCCAAAAGAATCAAAGTCATTCTTGTATGAACATGTTTTTAATTCTCAGTACCTATAACTAGAAAATTTCATTAAAATTCTATCCACATTCTTCAAACTTGTTCTACCCTTCAGCCTCTAGCAACTACTGCTTCTTTTCTTATAGACTTGACTGTACTTGCTTCTCTGTATAAACAGAGTCAAATGGCATGTGACCTCCGGGGTCTGGCTTTTTTATTGTTTTAACTAAACATCTTTTCAGGGTTCGTTCATGTAGCAGTACTTCGTTTCTTTCATAGCCGTTTATTGATTGATGTACATTTTGCTGACCATTCTCTCATGGATCCAAGTTTGAATGGTTTCTACTTTGGGGGTATTATGAAGAATGCTGCTATGAACTCACCAACAAATTTTTGAATGGACATGCCTTTAATATGGCTAGAACAGCTGAGCTCTGTGGGAGCTAAGTTCAGCTCCGGGAGAGAAACTGCCCACACTGCTGCAAAAGCGCTGCACTGGTGTACTTTCCCACCAGCAGGAGGCAAGGTCTCAACTGCTCTAACTATGCAAAGACACTTGCTACCGTGTACCTTCCTGACAACCATCCCTAGCAGGGGCAAAGTGCAGACGCACAGAAAGACTCGGGACCTAAGACACTAAGACCCTGGGAAGAAGGAAGAAACAAAATGTGCCAACTGTGAGAACCGTGCAATTTAAAGACGGCCGTATCTGCAGGGGAAGACTCAAATTCTCCAGCTAACCAACCATGCACAGCACAGAAGATGCTGACTGCACGCAGGGTGGCCGGTGCCCGCCTTGGGAGCAAGGGTGCTGCGGTGGCGGCACAAGCACTTGGGGAGCACCTGCCTTGCTGCAGCTGCCAGCAACGCCTCACCCTGCTCCCGACTTCCCTGGCTGCACACAAGTCCGTTCCCTGCTGCCTTTCACTGCAGGCCGGAAGCAGCTTTAAGCTTCCTGGCAACAAAGGCAGAGAAGTAAATGTGAGAAATGTCAGAACTGTTACCAAAGCGAGACAAGCTTCCCATTCTTCTGGTAGATATCTTTCTCTAAAAATAACCGCTTTTCTCCCTCACAACTCCTTATATCAGAAAAATTAAGAAGTATTAATAGACAATACTTATTATTCTTCATTACAAAGTTTTATGGCAATAGAAGCTGTGCTTTCCGTAGTTTCTTCTTCAGAACCACTTTTTTACAGCAGCTGAGTCCAGAGCACTGCACAGGGACAGGCTAACGCGGTTCTGGTGGAGATTCCAGGACTCCTCATCCAGGACCTAGAGGTCTCCTTGTACTGAGGAGTGCATTCGGTGAGCTCTGCTGTGGTGTCCACCCAGCAGGGAAAGAGGAGTGCTACCCAAGATGCCTGATGTAACTGGAGTCCTGATGCAGGCGCATGCACTGATTACAGACACACAGTCGAACACCCATAGACAAAGAACTGAAGCGATTACAGTATGGGGAGTAAGTGGCAGGTCAGGGAATCTTCAGGACCGGGATCTACTTCACCTCGGTCCGCCATTATGGAAGGTGTGGCAAAGAGAAAGGCTTTTAACCTTAACATGAAGAATAGACTTCAGCCGGTTTAGAAAGAGAGGGTACCGGACAGACTTGAAAATCCATCTGTCTGAAAAGCTTTGGGGTTTTCTGCTTGGTTTATACATGGATCTGCAGCACAGTAAAATCTGCACACTGCATGCCTGCAGATACACATGTTAACAAAGGTCTGAAACTGCAGGGCCCAAGTTTAACTAGAAACGTGTGTGTGGCCAACTTTTCAAAAGTAGAGCTAACGGACACAAAGATCCGCAGAGATCACTCAAGCACTGGTTCTCACGTCCCAGAACAATCTGGGAAGACTTCAACAGAACCTACTGAAGCCCAGAAAAGCAAAGTTTGAGAAGCGCTGCTGTAGAGCTTAGATAACACCCTAACAATCATTTAATAAAGGGGGCTCTCCACACACCTACAGTAGACCTTTACAGTCCTTGCATTTATTATTTTAAATATAATGTCTTATATACCAATATATTGCTCATATTAAAAAATACATAGAATGTTATGGGACATAAAAGAAAATTATACATACATATGTGTGTATATGGTTATACATTTGCACATGCATATGATTATATAGCGCACACGCACACACAGTTAAGGCAGGTCTTACTTTGTAGTCCTGGATGTCCTGAGACTATGTGGATCAAGCTGGCCTGGAGCTCATACAGTTCCTCTGCCTCTGGGACTAAAGGTGTGCGCCACCATGCTCAGCTTTAATTTTTTTTTTATTAAAAATAAGAAGCCCTACAATGTACGCTGCTACACCACCACCCTTCTCTGCTCCAAAGAGTACTAGCCTCAGCTTCCGGCTATAAGATAAGAAGGCCGCCCTGCAAAGGCAGGTGCATTTGCTAGGTCACCACACCAGCTTCTACATTTCCCTCTAATTATGGAAAGGTCTTTGTTAAGGTTCTGTTGACAAAACTGCCATCTTCCCTGAATGTTTTTTTTTTTTAATTTTAAAAAAGAAAAGATATTATCTTTCTGCATTTCACCTACCAATCCCAGTTCCCACTCCCTCCATCTTTCCCCCACCCCACCCTTCTGACTGCTTTTATTAAAGGAGTGTGAACAAGGTATTTCTTAGTTATTCTTATTTCTTCTCTTAGGAACGCTCTGTTCAGAGCCATAGCCCATTGTTTAACTGGGTCATTTTCTTGACTCTTTGCTTTCTGAGTTCTTTGTATATTGTGGATATTGATCTATCAGCTGTATAGCTGGCAAAGTTTCTCTCCGCTCCCTGAGCTTCGTTTTCACTCATCTGATTGTTTCCTTTGCTGTACAGGAACTTCTTAGTTTCATGAGGTATCACTTGTCCAGTGTTGGCCTAAATTCCAAGCAAATGGAGTCCAGAATTCAATTCCCGGCATCCATATCAAGCAGTTCCAGGGAGCCTGATACCCTCTTTTGCCTCCAGGAACATTTACAAGCACATGGCACACACACACACACACACACACACACACACACACACACACACACACACTTTAAAAACATAACTTCAAACAAACTAGATTTCTTACAAATAAAAAACAGTACAGTTTATAACCATTAAGATTTAGGAACAGCTGGGCACTGGAGAACGGCTCGGTGGGTAAGTGTAGACACACATGCTCAACATGATTAAGAATCTGAATTCCAGAATGTAAAAAGCTGGGTGTGGCCAAGTGTATGCCTGTAACCCCAGTGCTGACAGAGGTGGAGATGGAAACCTCTGGGGATTGCTGGGCACCAGCTCAGCTCCAGGCTCCCTGAGAAACCCTGTCTCAAAGGAATAGACTAGAGAGTGACAGAGAGGGGGGACGCCTAACCTCCACTGTCCTCTGGCCTCCTCACACAAGCCGCTGTGTATACAGAGGAGCACACACAAACGAAAGGCTGACTTTCATCTTTCTTGACGGGATACGGAAGGAGTGGCAAATGGTGCTGCGTCCCACAGCTGTAAAGGCAGAGGGTGCGGCTGACAAGCTCCCTCGCATCCCCGGCACCCACAGACGTCCGTAATAACTTACTTCCCGATATTCTCTGGCAGAGTCTGCAGTGAGATGTCATTTACAGAAAGACACGTTAGGTTCTGTAGCTCAGGAAAGCTCTCTGGCAACCTACGACGACGACAACAACAACGTTAATTCAAAAGAGAAAGGCAGTGCACGCTGAGTGTAAAGACAGACTTCTTCCACACGGTTGGTGGCTGCAATAGCCTCCTGCATCCCCTTTTATTATGGAATACCTGCCTTGGCTTCCTATATATACTACACCTGTAAGCAGAAGCAGCCGGCTCTGTCTACAGAGGGAAGCACAGGCCCTGCAGATACTGACAGAGGGATGTGCAGATGTGCACGGCCTCCTAGAGAAGGTGCTGAGGCGTGCTGGGCGTTCTAGGAGAAAGAAAGATGCTGCTGCTGCTGCTGCTGCTGCTGCTGCTGCTGCTGCTGCTGCTGCTGCTGCTGCTGACACTGGAGCCCAACCTCCGAGGATCTGGGGGTGGCACACACCTTTAATCCCAGGGCTCACAGGCAGAGGTAGGTAGGTCTCTGTGAGTTCCAGGCCAGCCAAGGCTGCACTGACCACAGCTTCACTGACCACATCGCAAACAAAAAAAGAGTTAAAATCCCAAGGAACAAAACAAAACAAGAAATCCTGCTGAGAATGAAAACACTGCCCTGATTAGAGAAACTGCAGAAAAAAATTTAGCTAGCCCGTGGGGTTTTAAGCCACCGGACAGCTGCAGCTCAGAATGCCCAGAGCAAAGGATTACTCTACACTGATGGGCTGCAGCCAACTGCTCTGCTGTCTTCTTCTTAATTCAAGATGTCACTCACTTAAAATAACTTTATCTTTCACTACGCAGTCCATACAAAAGCACTTTAATGTCTCAAACTCCACAAAATGGTAAGGAGTTGATAAAAAAATCATCACTTAAAATTTACAAAGAACGGAGGCAGGGGGATCTCTGTGAGTTCAAGGCCAGCCTGGTCTGCAAGAGCTAGTTTCAGGGCAGGCTCCAAAGCTACAGAGAAACCTGGTCTCCAAAAAAAAAAAAAAAAAAAAAATTCTAGTTTCAATATTCCTAGTTACCCCGTATTTAGAAGGAAAATCATGACTCAAGATGAAAAAATTTTAACACATCTAAAATGATCTCCCCCCTCTCTTTCTCTCTCTCTCAGCGTGAGCAGAACTCTGACTTTAGTAGTGAGCTCTTGATCACTATACTTGTCTTTTCTTTTGCTAGGTATGTATTTAAAAAAAAAAAAAAAAGAAAAGCAAAAAAGAAATCCTGTATTAATGTTTGATATGTAATATAAGTTAATTCCATAATTCAAAACTCAAAATCCAGGTACCAAGAACAGGGCATCAACAGGAATGTTTTATTACATTATTGGGAATCAATTGCTGAAGATTGTTACTTATATTTCAAAAGACAAAACTTATAAGGCCTGTCTGGAGTTTTGTCCGGCGTATATAATCTTAATAATTTTTATAATCTTAAAAATCCCGAAAATGTTCCTAAAGCAAGTGAAATCTTTAGCTAGCTGCTCTGCCTTTCTGCCAGCTGCTGGCTTAGGTAAGGGTGGCACATACGAGTACCTGCAGCAGGATGAGGGGCAGAAACCGGGTGAGGAGCTTCTACCGCTCTTCACAGTAGCTGCAGGGTCTAGAAGTCTGCTCATCTAGCTGAGGTTCCCTCCCCAGCCATAAACTAAGTGTGCCAAGCTAAGCAATTACCGAGTCCCCTTCAGCTCACAGATAACATCTTAATTCTTAACATCAGGGCACCTGCCAAACTGAAATGATCCTTTTCTCTAAGGATCCTGTCATAGAGGAAGCCAGGATAAAAAAACGGGAGTGAAAGCCTCAAATAACCTTCGGATGATTGTGGAGACAATGTTAACAGGCATGAGGAGGAGAAAAGGAGAAAAGCAGAGGCGATTTAAGTGCCTGAGTGGCTAGGTCTCCGTTGCAGCAGCCAGAGCATCCCAGCTTGCCAAGCCCTATAAGCTGCCTTAAAGCTCCGCTAGCTGCGCAGTTCAGTGAACGCCCGCTGAGCACTTCCTTCGAGAATTACAGCTGGGCTGGAGACACGATAATAAGAGAGAAATGCGAGTCACTTCCTCATGTCTGTGGGGGAGTCTTTATTAGGACAGCTTACATGTAGATGTCAAGTGCTATGGGAACACAGTGCAGAGAGGGTGCTGTGGAAGACCAGGGGGCAACAGGGACAAAGCAGGGTGCTCTCCCAGGCTGAAGGAAGGGGAAAGATCACAACTGTCGGGGAGGGGGGCTGGGAAAGGAACTGGAGTGTTTCATGAGTACTCAGAGACGGACAGGGCAGCCGAGGGCAATCAGGGTAAAGGCCGTTGAAGCACACTGTAGCTGAGGAGGCCCTCAAAGACCTGGGGGAACACGCACGTAAGGGGACAGGAAACAAGAGAGGTTCTGAGAAGAAATAACTGTGTGAAGGTTACTAGGAAACAGGATACAGCGTGAGGACAGTAACGAGTTAAAAAAAGGTATTAGATTTATGCAGCATAAGAGATTGTTTTTTTTTCAAGTCATAATTGATAAAAGTATCAGTCACTGAAATCCAAAAGAAAGAAACCAGAAACACCATGAAAATATCTAATTCTGGGAAATGAGATATGGGTGAAACAAAATTAAATAGGGAATTGTTCCATACTCAGGGAGTCTCAATTTTAACGTCAATAAGATAAATCCAGCTCAATTTCAAAGGCAACAGCTATGTGCAGTGCCTTGAAAAATCCTACAAATGGACTCACTGGCCCAGAGAAACCTTTAGAGCACACACCCAAGAGTCGTCTCTGCATTGCCGTTGGGTACCAATTCATTTCCCCTGGCAACACAGGCACCTGGAGGCAGGAGGCAGTGGACTCCCAACTCAGGTGGGCCCCAAGGAAGGTCACGACGGTGTTCCGTGAAACCCCAGGAGGGGCGGCGCTGCACTAAGTAGTAAAATGGGCAAGGGGCCACACTCAGAATGAGAACCCTAAGAAAACCCCACAGCTACTGCAAGAGTAAGGAAATAATGGTGTCAGGAAGGTTTCTGTAGCTGGGTGGTGACAGACACCTTTCGTCCCACCACTTGGAAGCCAGTGGCAGACAGAACTCTGTGAGTTTGTAGTGAGCATAGTCACAAAAGTGAGTTTCACAACAGTCAGAACTGTTATACAGAGAACCCTGTCTTGGGGGAGGGAAGGTTTTTGTGTGTGTGTGAGTATGTGTTTTTGAACAGAAAGCTGATGATGTTATAAATGTTTCATTACTGCAGTGTAAAAAGTAAGATTTCTCTGGCTGGGTGTATAACTCAGAAGAAGATCTCGTGCCTAGTAACTGTGCAGCCCCAAGGTCAATAAAAGGGAATCGACTTCCTGGGTAAACACACGGGAATCTCTCTGGCCTCAGTCTAATCCTACAAGTCAGGAGATGAATTGGGAGCTGATTTTTATTTTATTTTTTACATTTATTTAGTGACACACACACACACGTGCGTGCACACACCACAGTGCACATACGTGTGACATGTGCATGTGTGAGGCCAGAGGACAGCAGGACAACCCACAGGAGTTAGTTCTCTTCTACTCCGCGGTTTTCAGGAACTGAATTCTCACCATCAGATTTGCTGCCAAGTGCCTTTACCTGTTGAGCCACCTTGTCTACCCAACTGAGAAGTTTTTAAGCTACACGTCTTCATGCTACTCAGAAATATGTTCTTTAACTCCTGCTTTAACAGTCCTCACCAACTCCTTGTCCTCGGTCCTAACAATTCCATCAATACCAGTGTGCCCTCTTCCACTGCATATATCAACACACTAAGAGTCAATCCTATTTGGCGGGCTAGCGCCCCCCCCCCAGGTTGTATTCCTTCCCCAGGCTGTCAGACATGCTACCCCGAGCACTGAAACTAGGTACGTCAATTGGAAGGTTACCTGGTGAGGGGGTTTCCACTGAAGTCAGCTACCTGCAGGGCTTTACAGAAGGAGATGCTTTCTGGAATTTCGGGAATATCTAGAGGAGCAAAGAAAGATCAGCAGCACTGTTAGCGTTTTCATGTTTAGGACTGAATACAACCACAGAGAGAATCCAGACGCTGTGACCTCATTCGGTGTGGCCCCGGCTTGTTGGAACTATTCTCCTACATGTCTGCAGAAAACATGTTCTTTAAGGAAGTGCATTAAAGATGTGCCTGTAGTGAGGCTGAGACAGGAGGATCACATGAGTACAGGAGTTGAGGGCTGTGATGCGCTATGCCGATCAGGTGTCTGCACTTAGTTTAGCATCAATATGGTGACCTCCCAGCAACAGGGGACCACCAGCCTGCCTAAGAAAGGGTGAACCGGCCCAGGTTGGAAAAATGTATGAGCCGGGCGGTGGTGGCGCACGCCTTTAATCCCAGCACTCTGGAGGCAGAGGCAGGCGGATCTCTGTGAGTTCGAGACCAGCCTGGTCTACAGAGCTAGTTCCAGGACAGGCTCCAAAGCCACAGAGAAACCCTGTCTAAAAAAAAAAAAAAAAAAAAAATGTATGGGCTCAGTGAGCACACACCCTGGGTTTAATTTTTTAGCTGACATAATTGGAAAGGTGCCAACAGTTGATTTGGCTGGTAGGCTGAGATGTGAATCAAAAGACAGTCTAGTGTGAAATAGCTGGAGCGGTCTGATATGCCTTGGCTTGGTTTAGATGAAGACACTGGAAGACTGGAAAGGATTTGCTGCGTAAAACCTAAGCCTCCACAATGGGGACAGGGGTTGAGGGGGCAGAGAGGACAAGCTCTTCACTCGCACTGCAACAGACAGGCTGTGAGAGGGAACCAGCAGGCCGAGGAGCTGTCACTGCTTCTCTCTGTAGGCCACACCTTACAGTGTTGGTCGTGGCTGTACGAGGGGACAACTTAAATCCAATGGGTCAAACTGAATCCCAGAGCAGCAAGGGTCAAGAGGCGGTATTGAACCGCCAGAGGCAAGGTGAGCTCACTCACTCTTCACAAGGGACAACGCGGGCAGAGCAACCTTCATAATGGTCTGATTCGTGAAGACCTTTGGCACTGGGTAATCAACCATGATGCTCCCTGAAGTGAAACAGACATTAGGCCTAAGCTCCTGCTTTAGCTATATATGCAGGAAAATCGTATGCTAAATGAACGGCTGTCTTGAATTAAAGCAACAGGCATTCAAGGCACCTTGACCAATTTCTAGACTTCAGCTAATTTATAGATCAGAACCCCTTGAATGAAGGGAGGCCATGTCCCCCTGAGGAAGGGCCCCACTGCAATAGTGGGGAGGTTTACTATTCTTCCATCTTTCGCTCCCATCCTTCCCTGTTATAACTGGGGGAAAGGAAATAACCAGACCTGTCAGAGCCTATTAGACAGTGGCTCACAACACAACTGGCTCTGGGAGCCCCTGAAAGGGTTGAGGTTCTCAGGCAGGTGACAGGAGGATCACAAACTGTCGAGCTGTGACTCCAATGGCAGCTGTTGCAGCAGATGTCACAGCGCCATCCTCGCCTGAGCAGATATTGACCTCACAATGCTTTAATCTCAAGACCTGTTCTTAAGGACCAGGAGAAACAATCCTCTCACTCTTCTACCTCACGGGTATTATTAATTCTCCAGCCCGGTGCCACAACTCAGTTCACGGGGATTTGATCATTTGTCTTTTCCACATGGCATCCAAACAGTCTAACCATGTTGATGACATTGAGCTGACTGGGTCAAGTGAGCAGGAGGGAACAACCACTCTGAACCTATAAGTAAAGAATGTGCATCCAAATATGAGTAAGGAACTCACCAAGGCCAGCTGGCCTGGGTCTGAAAAAGCCTGGGATAAAACCGGACTCGCTGAACATAGCAGACAAGGAGGACTACTGAGAACTCAAGAACAATGACATTGGGTTTTGATCCTACTGCATGTACTGGCTTTGTGGGAGCCTAGGCAGTTTGGATGCTCACCTTACTAGACCTGGATGGAGGTGGGTGGTCCTTGGACTTCCCACAGGGCAAGGAACCCTGATTGCTCTTTGGGCTGACAAGGGAGAAGGCCTTGATCGAGGGAGAGGGAGGAAAATGGGAGGCGGTGGCGGGGAAGAGACAGAAATCTTTAATAAATAAATAAAACAAAAAAAAGAGAATAAAAAAGAATGTGCATCCACAGATGGAAACCAAATCCAACCAAAGTCCAAGGGCCTTCCGCCTCAGTGGCATTTCCAGGGGAAGAAAAAGTGGTTGTTCCTATCCCTTCCCACTGCTGAGTGGGGCTCCCTGGATTCTGGAGGCAGCACGCCCTCCCTCTGCTGTGTTACGATGGCCCAAACACCACGGGACTTAAGTGTGGCCCAGAACAGAAGGCAGCTCCTCAATGGGTCCCCACTGCTGTGTGGGCTCTCCTGCTGCTTGGTATCTACGACCCAGCAGACCCAACAGTAACCGAGGGGTTGGGGGCAGACAGAGATGGTACTGGGCACCTTTGATGGCCGCCACAGTAAGCCGATGCAGGCACCACCCAGAAGTGGACAGCAGCAGCATTGGAACCCTTTTCTGGGACAACTCTGAAGGGAATTCTTCATAATGGGCAAATCTTGGCACAGTGCACATGACTGTATGCTTTGCTTAGAAGGAGAAACAATGTACACATAAATAGAGATTTGTGAGCTGTGGCCATGTAGCTGAGTGGTGGGAAATTGCAAAGACACGGCGTTAGAAAACTGGTGAGAGAGACAGCTAAGAGAGAAGTATGTGGATAAATCTCTCCGACTATGCAAGGGACGTGGAGATATTTGTTCCCCGTGCAAATTCTGAACAGGTTACCTCAGCAGAGGAAGCAATGAGCAGTACATAGGACGGCCCAGTCTATGGACAGTAGCCAGCCTCTTCCCTGATATCCCTGTACTGCCCAATGGCCACATGGACAAAATGGCTACGGTGACAGGGATGGAGGCCATACAAGGCTTTAACAATGTAAACAAAGGTAGATCTGCTACTGAATGCCAAACATGTCAGTTACAGAGAACAGTACCAAGTTACCAGAGAGCATCATTCCTGGGGTGATGAGCCAAGGGACCTGGTGGGCCTTGTCCTAACTGGAAGGATACCACATACTTCCGGATGTGAGTTTGCCGTCCTGCACACAATTCTGCCCAAATGACCACCCATTTACTTACACAATGCCTTAGCACAGTCACAGGACCCCATACAGTATTGCTTCTGAGCAAGGACTCACTTCACAGCCAAAGAAACAAGATGGTGGCTTGACAAAGCGGTGGGATGGCCTTTTAAAGACACAGTTGCAATGCCAATTAGGTAGCAACAGGCTGGAGGCCTACAGCGGAATTCTCCAGCAGGCTGCATCAGTACCCACTATTGTTTCTCCTCCAGCCAGGGTTTTGGGGTCCTGGAATTAAGGGGAAAAAATGGGGACGTGCCATCACCCTTGGTGACCCACTAGCAAAAGTTTGGCTTGACCTCAGGCTCTGCTGGCCAAATGCTTTGATTTTCAGAGGGGAAAATGCTCCCGCGGGAGGCACAGCTTAAGTGGAAGCTGAGACTGCTTCCTGGCCACTTTCAGCTCTGATACCTCCGAGTCAACGGGCTGGAAAATGAGAGTGGATAGGATGAGTCACCCAGGCTATCGGGAGGAAACTGGACAGTTTCTTCACGGTGTAAAAAGGTGTGTCCAGAGCAGAAGATCCAGTATGGCATCTCTTGGTGGCACAGCATCCTGTGATTAAGGTCAGTGGGAAACTACAACTCAGAACAACTCAGAACAGGCAAGATGACAAATGACCCATAGGAATGAAGGTGTGAGTCACCCCTCCAGATAAAAAACCAAGCAAGACATGCTGAGCTGCTTGCTGAGAGTGAAGGAAATACAGAATGGTTATTAGGAAAAGGTAGTATAAATACCAGTCAAGGCCAAATGACTAGTTACAGAAATGAAATTCTAATTGCCGTGAGGGTTTCTGTCCTATTTTGTTAATAACAGTATTTTTAGTTAAGTGTAGGGTAGTTGTATCATGTTAGGGAGAATTATGGCCGCTATTTTTTCATTTGGAAATTAAGCATGACATAAGCAGATAAAATGAAGTATCAAGCTGACAAGGGGTGAACTTCTGATGATTCATCTTGATTACCAGCATGGCTGGGTCTAGATAAACTAAAAGACACACTCTGGACAGACCACTAAGGTAGTGCCTAGATGTTGGAAGATCTTCCCCGAGTGGGTGGCACCAGACATGAATCGGTCTGAGGGAAAGCAATGATGCTTTTGCCTGCGTGCCTTCTCTCCCTGCCTATGAATGCATCTACCTTGTTGCTGCTACTGCTGGCATCCTTCACTGCCATCAGAACCCAGCTTCTTCAGCCTTCGAGCATAAACTGAAGGCCAGAGGCTCTCCAAGAATCCTCCAGGGTTTCATCACCGGATCACAACTGCTGAGGCATCCATCCTTGTGTACTGAGCAAGCACCAGGTGCTCAGCCTCTCCAGTGTGCATCTGGACAATGCTGGACTACCCGACTCAACTCATGTAAGCCAAGCAATAAACTCCCTTTACAACACACACTCACTCTGCTAGTTCTCTTCCTCTAGAGACCTGACGAGCACAAGATAACAAATTTGCCAGTTATTAATTGGGTAGGAGACAAAGATTCAGAATACATAAAGAAATCAAAACATTAAATAATAAAACTACAAATAATCCAACTAAGAAGTGGGGAAAAAAAAGCTGGCCAGACAGTTTTCCAATGAAGTAAACGTCCAGTAAACACAGTGCTTGACATCGGGGAAACGACATGAGAACAGCGCTCAAAACTCCATCTCACGCCATCAGGGCGAAGCAAACACTGTTGGTGAAGATGGGCTGGAGGCTCCAAGACCCTGTTGGCAGGGATGTACCTGAGCCCCGTTACGATAAAATCAGTCGAGTGGTTCCTCAAAATGCTAAATATAGGACCTCCATAGTCTCCAGTTATCTAGTGCTTGGGTATTCACCCAAAGGCGTCAAAGTCAGTAC